TTTTAAAAAGCTGTAGTATTGTTAAAAGTAGAACCAAATAATTTCAGCTTTTGGCCTTCTTCAAGGTTTTTGAACATTTACAATGAAGTGTTTAATTTCCAGCAGATTCACACAGTTTCCAAGAAATTCACTCAGATTCCAAGAGGGTTGTTCTTGAATTACGGTTTCATTTGGCCATGACATTTATAAAAACATTTGGTAGCTTTTCCCATTCTAAGTCAACTAACAGTCCGTCATGATGAGACAGACAGGGATGGAAAATGTTGAAGTTGTGTAACTATTTGCACCTAAGGGAGGGGATGAGGTTCTATGGATGACTGCTAACCAAATCTCCCTGGCAACAACACCACACACACACATATACACACACACACACTCACTCACACTCACTCCTGGGGTGGTGAGATATGGGCAGGTGAGACCCCATTACTAAGAGACTCCAGGGAGACAAAATAGTTTTAGATTAAAATGAATTGATAATACAGATAGTTCATTGCATCTATTTTGAATTTCCGTCCATATAAATGTTTTCTTTTCTTACTAGGATGTATAACTTACTAGCATGTATAACTTCACACATTGTTATGGATGTTTCTGTTTTTCTGTTTGGTTTTGTCTTTAAGTGTATGTCACCTCTAAGGTACAGTGCAGGTTTGATAGTAGAGGTTCAATCTAAAAAATAAACTTCACATTTAAATATACATTATTTGTACATTTGAATAATACATTGATCGATTGTAATTCTTCAAAGTGAGATGTGTTCTTAGTAAAAGCATTGTTCTTAAATAAACCACTGTTGACTTATTTCACCTCAGGGAGGGGTTAAGGTTCTATGGATGACGGATAATCAAATACACCTAGGATGCAACACCTCATACACACACACACACACACACACACCCAAACACACACACACACACACACACACACACACACACACACACACACACACACACACACACACACACACACACACACAAACACAAACACACACACACACACACTCATGGGGTGGTGGGCTACGGACCAAATACACCTCACCTTACCTTCCCATTGTTTGGCTAATACAGGGTTGTATTCATAAGGCAACAAACGAAAGAAAACAGATTGAAGCAGGGAGTGAGGGAGTACCTGATCTTATCCAATAGCAAACAATAATTTTTATTTTCCATTGCAAAAAGTTGCTAAATGTTTTCTGTCGTGTGCCCTAATGAACATGACCTTGGCTAATGCTAACAAAAAGAAAGATTATAATATAGAAGTAAAGAAATGGAGAAGGTAAGGAGGAAAGTGAAGTTGAGAGCAGACTTAGCAATTTGGAGGAGAATGGAAATTTAAAAAATAAAGCTTCATTATTGTTAAAATTGGAACCAACGCATTTCGCCTTTTGGCCTTCCTCAGGGTTTTTGAACATTTACAATTAAGTATTTAATTCCCAACATATTCATACAGTTTCCAACAGAGTCAAACTGTTTCCAACAGAGTCAAACTGTTTCCAACAGAGTCAAACTGTTTTCAACAGGGTTGTTCTTGAATTATGGTAGCAATTGGGCATGGCATTTAGAAAAAAAGGTTAACTTCATTTTTTAAAGATGTTTTGTTATTCTTCCAATTCTAAATCAATTAATATCATAGCTTAAAGACATTAAACATGTTTTACCATTATGATAACATTGTGCAACCAGCAGGAGTAGTAACACTCATGATGGTAACACCAATGAGACATTTTAGATTATTGAGGATTTTCTCAAATCAATCATCTAAAATTAATTTACTAAAGTGATGTGATTAATCTTTTTGCTCACAATGTTATTTCCCTTAAATTAATTTGACTAACACCAAGTGACGTTTTGGATTTAGACACACCAAATGATGAATGGAATCCAAAAATGGATGACATACTAAAAGAGTGTGATTAGCTAATAATTGTATTTAATATAGACCCCTCCCCCAATAACAGTTTGACACTAGAGAGAATGTTCAAGGTCCTTACATATATTTGTAATCAGTGATTTTTAAGGCAGTAACACCAATGACGTAAAAACCGAGATAAAAATAGGTGTTTTAATAGCCTTCTATGTTTTTATTGATCTACACAATATGATAAATACCTTCGTTTACTTTCTAGCATTCAGAAGAATAGATAGATATCTCTAAATCCCAGAAACATGTCACTACATCTCTACACATCCCCAGTGGAACAAGATGATTTGCTAGTCCCCAGTAGTTTCTACAATGCATACAAATATATGTTTTGCAGTATAAAAGACTTATGTATGTTTTCTTATTAAATAACCATATTATTTGTCATGTTTTTGTCATTTTAAAGAGTTTTTACATGGTGCCAGATTCAAGGAGTCAATTATTCAAGCATTCAATTCAGCATTTACTGCCACAATTCAATAATGGCCCAACAGATTCATACAATTTCCATCAGATTCAAATAGTTTCCAAAAGGTTCACACAGTCAGTGATGATGAGACAGATAGAGACGGAAAATGTTTAAGTTTTGTAACTATTGACACCTCAGGGAGGGGATGAGGTTCTATGGATGACTGCTAACCAAATCCGCCATTCAGACAACACCACACACATACATGCAAACATACACATGCAAAGACACACGCAAATACACGCGTGCACACACACACAGACCCAACACATACACACACAGGGTGGTGGGCTATGGACCACTGCTAACCAAATACACCTCACCTTTCCCTCCCCATGTTTGGCTAATAGAGGGTTGTGTTCATAAGGCACCAAACAAAGAAAACAGATTGAAACAGGGAGTGAGGGACTACCTGATCTTATCCAATAACAAACCCTCATTTTTGTTTTCCGTTGCAAAAAGTTACCAATTATTTTCTGTTGTTTGTCCTAATGAACATGAGCCAGGTTTGCATGTTGTCCAGACAGAGAATAATAAGAGAGTGAGAAGAAGATCCATCACGCACACTGAGACAGAGGAGGGATTCAGCAGATGACAAGATAGCCCTCTCAAACACAGGTATGTTTTTTTTATGTTTGGATATATTATTTTATTGTTCATAACCTTGGTTAATACTGTAAAAGATAATGATGATAATCAGTGCTTAATTTGGAAATCGGGAGAGGAAGTTCTGAGGTACCGGAACACTTGAGAGAGAAAAAAAGTACCTTTATAATAAAGCATTGCATTCATATCATCGCATTTGCGTTGTGGCATAGAGCAGTAGAGTAGAGACACTCATAGAAGTTGCACACATTGGGAACATTTTAGTAGCCAGGGTCCGGGGACAAACGCATTTCATGCAATTATACATCACTAGAGACTTTAGTATAATATTTTTTAATACCACACAAATAATTGAAATGGCAGGCTACTTTGACAATGGAATCAATAAATACAACCTTACATTTTCGTCATTTAGCAGACGCTCTTATCCAGAGCGACTTACAGGTAGTGAGTGTATACATTTTCATACTGGCCCACGTGGGAATCGAACCCACAACCCTGGCGTTGCAAGCGCCATGCTCTACCAACTGAGCTACACAGGGCCTTACCTTGTCCTGAATCCATCAATAACCTAGGCCTAGGTGTGTGTAGGCTACAATGTGGGGAGGAAATAATAGTCCTAACAATGCTTTCCAGTTTCACTGACTCACCCAATGATGCGCAGCCCCCTCGCTGGTGATGGCCGATGCACTCGTGCCAAACGCCTATCTCTCTCTCTCTCTTGTAAATCAATATTTTGAAGTTGATCAAATATTTTGGTAGCCTACAGCATAGTCTTCTCTTTTCAGCAAGAGCCATTTGCTTTACAACCTTTGTTTTCCCTCGATTGTATTTGAAATATTGCGAAATCTCTTTTGTCTGCATGCAGTTTTTTCACTGACAGATTTGCCGCGCGTTCCAGACTGTGGGCTATTCCTTGTTACTGGTCTACAATCCACAGCTAGGCTATTTTTTAAAAGAAACTATTGATTCTCTTTGGCTAATTTATAGGCCTTCTCATGGTGTAGTAGGCTATTCTGAATGATTTCATTTATTTCTGAACAGACAGCAGTCAGACCCGTCGCCAGACCTCAGTCTTAAGGGGGGCATATGAAATGCATGGGAGGGCAGGGCACAATTATTATTAGCCTACAGTACGTATATTTAATAATAAATTCCCTCAAGTGGGGGGGGGGGGGGGGGGGGGGGGGCTATGGCCCGCCCATAGCGACGGGTGTGACAGCAGTAATTCTATAACTTTGTCAAATGTATTTCAATGTATCCGGGGTGCTGCAGTTCCTCCAGAACCCTTCACTGTGATTCTATAAGGAAATAAATGATGAAGTGCAACGCTGGAGAGATGAGAGTTGCAGGCTCATGTCTATCAGAGCAGAGAGAGAGAGAGAGATCATAGAAAGTGAATCTCATTCTAGTTCTGTGAAAGATACTAGCGCGCTTCTCACACAGCCACGGCCACGTGTTGGTCTCAAACATAGGTTACAATGTTGCGCAAACCATAAACCCGGGCAGGCCCAATCGAATTAAATATTTGAATATTAGTCCCGGGCTGAAAATCTACTTTTTCACATAACTTTTTTTTTGTGGGGGCAGGAGAATTAACGAAGAGTCAACTCAAATGAACTTTGATCGCTTTTACTATAATTTTTACATTGCAAAAAGTGACAATTATTTGTCATGCCTCGAGAGGTACCGGATCTGGCCAAATAGGTTCAGGAACAAAACAATCCATAATGGAGAGGTGACGGATCCTGTTCCGGCAGGATCCGGCTCAAATTAAGCACTGATGATAATATATAAGTAAGGAAATTGGTTATTATCACATGAATAAAAGCTTATTGTTGGTGTGGTATGTGTGGTAATGTCTAATGTTGAAAAGGAAAAGAATAGTAGATCCACATCCTATAACACATTGCAGGTGTTGGATATCCAGAAATAGATCATATTAATTAACTGATCATTAAAAGGGGATTTTTTAAAATGTCATTAATATTGACGGATGAACATGTTGCTGCATCCCAGATCCATGGAGTGGAGTCTGAGAGCTATCCCTGTCGCTGGTGAGAACTAACTACCTCCAAGGGTAAGTGGTCCATTCCATTTCAATTCCAGTCAATTCAGAACGTAAACCAAATTCCAATTAACCTGATAATCTCTGAGAGATTCTTATGACATTGCGAGCAGTAAGATTTGAGTTCAATTTCCAAAAAGACAAGGCCTGTACCTTTCAAATGAACCACTCAGAATTTAAAAGATAATTTGAATTTCAGTGTACTCCCGAATTGACTGAAAATTGAAATTGAATTGACCCCAACCCTTCCATCTAAAAGTCAGCTATCTCTAATGATCAGCATTACCCTATAGCACGTTACACAATTTGTCATATGATGTTATCAAAGTAAATTCACAATATCATTCATTATGACTAATTAATGATAATATTCATTCATAACATTATTGTTGTTTTACAGGGATTTTCCTACTCTTTCTGAAGGTCAGCGTACAGATAGGTAAATGCATTTTTAATAAAGCAGAAAGACAGACTGACAAAAACAAACAACCCAAAACAACTAATCAATGAATTAAGTATCAGTATTGGCCACTTCGACAGAAGCTAGGCCTAATAATAACTAATTCAGTTAATGTCCCAACTAAAGGTAACTAAGTGGGAATGTGTATATCTGAGGTGTATTCACTAGGAACCAAATGGAACAAAATGGACGAAATGGGGAGGGACTAACCTGAACTAACCTGCAAAATGTTTTCTGTTGCAAAATTAATTGCTACAGTGTGCACTAATGAATAAACCTCTGTATTATATCTGTCTCTGTCACTCAAACAGACAACTTGGCATTGAAAGGAGTGGCCACCCAGTCATCACTGAATGGGTATGGCAAGGCTCACAATGCCATTGATGGGAACAGAGAATCAAACTATTTCAAAGGATCCTGCACCCACACTACACAGGAGACCAACCCCTGGTGGAGAGTGGACCTGCTGGATGTGTACAGAGTGACAGCTGTCACCATCACCAACAGAGGATATGTTGTTCCTGAGAGGCTTGATGGTGCTGAGATCCATATCGGTAACTCACTGAAGAACAACGGCATCAACAACCCCAGGTGATACATAGACATCAGTACATTTGTATGTCCTGTCTTGAAGGTATTTGGATAAATTGGTCTTCATCCATGCTTCTGTAGCTATTCTGTGGCTATATATTTAACAGACTGATTGTATTCACTGTGTTACATTATAGAGTGTCCTCATTCCCTCTCATGTGCTCTCTCTCTCTCTCTCTCTCTCTCACACACACACACTCTCTCTCTCAGATGTGTTGTCATATCCCACATCCCAGCAGGAGAGACCCACACCTTCCAGTGTAAATATATGGAGGGTCGCTATGTTGTTGTGGTCATCCCTGGACAGAACAGGATTCTCACTCTGTGTGAGGTGGAAGTATATGGCATTCCAGGTAATCATCTGTAACTGTCTTCACTGTTCACATTCATCATCAAGTAAAGTTTACATAACGTTTACATAGTAGAACATCAATGTTCTGGAAGTAAAATTAATGTGCTTGCTGACAGCAACATCACTCTTGATTTCTGTCATATTCTTATTAATGTGACTTGCTTCTGCAGTCACACTTTTAATGTTGTATTTATTTCTTATATAGAGATTGTAATAATAACTGAACTCTTAACCTCTTATTTCAGACCCAGCCACCCCTATTTCCTCCAACCCTCCCACCACTACTATCTCCCCCCCTCCCCTCCACTCCCCCTCCCACCACTAATATTACCCATCTTCTAAACATGTCAAATGCAATAATAACTTTAATGAAGATAATTATTTTCCTATCGGACTTTGTTTTAGTGGAGGTTATACTTTTTCTTCCACAATTCATGTTCTTATATTGAATAGTTTTTCTGTGACTCAGTGGGAGATATTTTCACAATGCAAATTAGTACAAATCTGTGAAAGAAATACAGTAAAACTCATAATCTGTCATTTAATAAGACACTTTTTTCTTCAACAATGTGCGTTATAAAAATAACACTATTCATGCATTCCTCAGCTTACTAAACTTTAGTAAAACAATCACCTTTTTGTACAGCGCATTGTTAACCCTTGTGCTTTGCTGGAAAAAAATGACATCCATTATGTTACGGGTCAAATTGACCCGCACAGTTTAAACACACTCAAGACAGTCAAAGAATTAAGTAAAAACAGAAACAACTTTATTTTGTCTTATCAGACATTTCAGAAAGAAGAAATACAATACTTTTTATTTTTTTTAAACAATATTTAAGAACTATTTGTTAAACATATTTCCTTTCTCACAAACAAGATTTTTCAGTTTCCCCAAGTAGGTTTTTTCCCCCCCTATTGGTCCATATTATCCCTTCAGTCTTTCTCTCTACATGTTGAACACAATGTGTGTGTGTGCTTTCTGCAGATGTATTTATTGCATTCTACACAAGTGGTGCTTGTTTTACTGTCTTGTCGAGGGGGGCAGAGCTGGCATCTTTTCCGTTTCTTGCCACTGCCTGTATCCACTGGATCCATTTCTGGTTGATTGGAGGCATGTGTTGATGGTCCAGCTTGAATTTTCTGGACGGCAGATGCAGCTGCTGTCGACCGAGGAGGCCGGACTCTCCTCTGGATCTTGGGAGTGATGAGAGCTTTGCCGAGCTCCTCTAGGAAAAGCCGGCGTCGGTAGAATTTGCCACCATTCCATTGCTGGTTGATTTCAGTCCACAGGACATAGGCATTGTAAGCAGACACATCCACAATGTTGTAGAAAATCACCAAAGGCCAGCGGGCAGTCATGCGCTGACAACTATATGTTGCTGTGACTTTATCCAAATTGTCAACTCCTCCTTTGGTGGAATTGTAGTCCAGTATTATTTGTGGCTTGATGTCCTCTCTTGCACTCAGCGATGCATCTTTGTGCATTGTGCTCATTACAAGAACATTCTTGTTCTTCTTTGGGCAGTATGAAACAACAGTTGCATTTTCAGAGAAAGCAAATTTAGAGGAATGCACAGTTCTGCCCTGCATTTTCAGAAGCTCACTGGGAAGTTCAGGTTTGTTTTTTCTGATTGTTCCAACCATGGTCAGCTTTCTCTTCTGTAGTTCAACACCAAGGCGGTAGGATGTGAAGAAGTTGTCACACGTGATGTTATGACCTTGCAGCCCTTCACTCATGTCCAGCACCACCCGCATCCCCTGGTTTTTCTCAGGCACTCCGCCGGGTGGCTTCCCAGTGTAAACTTGCATATTCCATGCATAGCTTGATGTGGCATCACATGCTGCCCATATTTTGATGCCATATTTTGCAGGCTTGTTTGGCATATACTGTCTGAAGGGACAACGTCCTCTGAATGGAACAAGGCGTTCATCAACTGTAACATGAGGACTGGGATTGTACAGTAACGGTAGAATTTCCACCCATTTATCCCATACATCTCTGATTGCAGCTAGTTTGTCTCTTTCACGTCGACCCGGTCTGGTATCACGGTTATCAAAGCGAATCACCCGAGAAATTATGTGGAATTCTTGTAGAGACATTGTTGCCCGAAATATTGGCCTTCCATTCTCTTCATTCCACAGGCTGGCCGTTGCTTCTCCGTTTGACCGGTAGACTCCAGCTAATATGAGCAATCCAATGTATGCATGCAAGTCAATCCGATCCAGTGGCTTCCAGTTCTCTTGAAACACACGGCTCCCCTCCAAGTTGGTCATGTCCAGAACAATCTTCTCTATTGCTTGGGGTAAAAAGAGCTCAAAAGCTGATTGTATGTCATGGACTCGAGTGACAGCAAATCGTGTAGGTCCTGGAACCATTTTTATTACATTGGAAGCTGAGAGTCTACCTTGACCTCGTTGTGGTGACGGTGACCATTCAATATGACCATCTTTAGACTTCCATGTCTTCTCTTCTCTTGATGATGCTTGTTGCATGCTCTGTCTCTCATCTGATGTAGGGGATGGTACGGCAGACTCCTCCTCTGAATCCTCTTCAATGAAGACAAAATCTGGATCATCAACAGCATTGTCCTCTATCTCTGAAATATCCTCTGTCTCTGAAACCTCTTCTTCTTTTTCACTGTCACAGTCCAGAATTTGTGATAAGACTTCATTGATTGAAAATCTTTTGGAGCTCATTTTTGAGTGTCTGTGTCAGGGACCTGCTGCTCTCACACTGAGGAGAAGCTTGGGAAAGCCCTTTTTAACCCAAACACAATTCTAAAAGTGCAACCAGGACCAGTCAAAACAAAATACATCAAAGACACTTTTTTGTTTTGCACCTGTGCAAATATATATACACATGAAAGCCTCCGGGTCAAAATGACCCACAACATCATGTTTGTATACAAAATGTACACAGACATTCCACAACACATCAGTGTGTCCACATTTTGCAGTTAGGTTCATGACCCTAAATGAGGAAAAGTCATGTAATTTCATGGCGAAAAAGAGTGGTTAACTAGTATTTTAGACAACGCAAAAGTGGAAACGGGTCAAATTGACCCACAACATAACAGGAGGGTTAAAGAAATATGTCAAATTAAGTCATACTGTCAAGTCCTAATGAGTTTTGTGGTATTCCTGGTATGTTTTTACAGAATTTTACTATTTTGCACCATAAAAAATGTTACCAAATGTATTTCAGCCCCCAAGTCAAAGAGAACGGTGGTGAGGATGAAGATCCAATCAGATGCTGATCTGACAGACCAGGCAGTCGGTGACCAGCTCCTACAGCAGGTGAGAGAGAGGGAGAGGGGGAAGGAGAGAGAAAGGTGGAGGGAGAGAGAAATAGAATGTGTCTTTGAATATGAAAATGTATGTGCGAGTGCTGTCCGTGTGATAAGAGAGAGAGAATTCTGAAAAACCATCCTCCGTGTACTACGTAAAACACCAAGTAATGGATGCAGAGCAGAATTAGGACGATTCCCGCTAATGATCAAAATCCAGAGAAGAGCAATTAAATTCTACAACCACCGAAAATAAGTAATTCTCAAACCTTCCATAAAAATAACCTCACCTACAGAGAGATGATCCTGGATAAGAGTCCCCTCTGCCAGTTGGTACGGGAACTCTGCTCACAAACAGACCCCACAGAGCCTCAGGACAGCAACACACAATTAGACCCAACCAAATCATGAGAAAACAAAAAGATAATGACTTGACACATTGGAAAGAATCAACAAAATAACTGAGCAAACAGTTTTTTTTTATTTGGCCCTAAACAGAGAGTACACAGTAGCAGAACATCTGACCACTGTGTAGGGCTGATCCCATGACAGCTTTGCACACTCTTGGCATTCTCTCAACCAGCTTCAAAAGGTAGTCACCTGGAATGCATTTCAATTAACAGGTGTGCCTTCTTAAAAGTTAATTTGTGGACTTTATTTCCTTCATAATGAGTTTGAGACAATCAGTTGTGTTGTTACAAGGTAGGGGGGTATACAGAAGATTGCCCTATTTGGTAAAAGACCAAGTCCATATTATTGGGGCGGCAGGTAGCTTAGTGGTTAAGAGCATTGTACCGGTAACCGAAAGGTCACTGGTTCTAATTCCCGAGCCGACTAGGTGAAAAATCTGCCGATGTGCCCTTGAGCAAGGCACTTAACCCTAATTGCTCATGTAAGTCGCTCTGGATAAGAGCGTCTGCTAAATGACTAAAATGTAAATGTATGGCAAGAACAGCTCAAATAAGCAAAGAGAAACGACAGTCCATCATTACTTTAAGACATGAAGGTCAGTCAATACGGAAAATGTCAAGAACTTTGAAAGTTTCTTCAAGTGCAGTCGCAAAAAACGTCAAGCACTATGATGAAACTGGCTCTCATGAGGACCGTGACAAGAATGGAAGACCCAGAGCTAACTCTGCTGCAGAGGATAAGTTCATTAGATTTACCAGCCTCAGAAATTGCAGCCCAAATAAATGCTTCACAGAGTTCAAATAACATACACATCTTAACATCAACTGTTCAGAGGGGACTGTTTGAATCAGGCCTTCATGGTCGAATTGCTGCAAAGAAACCTGTACAATGGCTGCCGTTTTATGGACTCTTAACCAACCGTGCTATTTTGTGTGTTTTTTCGCATTGTTTGTAACTTATTTTGTAGATAATGTTGCTGCTACCGTCTCTTATGACCGAAAATAGCTTCTGGACATCAGAACAGCGATAACTCACCTTGAACTGGACAAATATTTTTCTTGAATGAGTGGGATGAGAGGGATTTGCTCCAGACACCCGACAGGGCCCTCATCCCCGTCATTCGCAGCAGAAAGAAAATAAGATATCACGGAAGGAGATCATGGTGCCTGGTCAGGAGCCGGCGACAAGTGGCTAATTTGCCTTTGCCATCGATACTATTGGCCAACTTACAATCGCTTGATAATAAAGTGGACGAACTTCAAGCCTGTATATCCTACCAACGGGATATTAAAAACTGTAATATCTTATGTTTCACTGAGTCGTGGCTGAACGAAGACATTAATAACATACAGCTGGCGGGTTATACACTGTATCGGCAGGATAGAACAGCAGCCTCTGGTAAGACAAGGGGTGGCAGTCTATGTATATTTGTAAACAACAGCTGGTGCACGATATCTAAGGAAGTCTCTAGGTTTTGCTCGCCTGAGGTAGAGTATCTCATGATAAGCTGTACACCACACTATCTACCAAGAGAGTTTTCATCTATATTCTTTGTAGCTGTCTATTTACCACCACAAACTAATGCAGGCACTAAGACCGCACTCAATGAACTGTATACGGCCATAAGCAAACAGGAAAACACACATCCAGAGGTGGCGCTCCTAGTGGCCGGGGACTTTAATGCAGGGAAACTTAAATCCATTTTACCTCATTTCTACCAGCATGTTAAATGTGCAACCAGAGGGAAAAAAACTCTAGACCACCTTTACTCCACACACAGACACGCATACAAAGCTCTCCCTTGCCCTCCATTTGGCAAATCTGATTCTATTCTCCTGATTCCTGCTAAAACTAAAAGTAAAAAAGCCAAAACTAAAGAAAAGAAAAGTGATCAGATGAAGCAGATGCTAAGCTACAGGACTGTTTTGCTAGCACAGACTGGAATATGTTCCGGGATTCTTCCGATGGCATTGAGGAGTACACCACATCAGTCACTGCCTTCATCAATAAGTGCATCGATGACGTCGTCCCCACAGTGACTGTACGTACATACCCCAACCAGAAGCCATGGATTACAGGCAACATCCCCAATGAGCTAAAGGGTAGAGCTGACACTTTCAAGGAGCAGGACTCTAACCCAGATGCTTATAAGAAATCCCGCTATGCCCTCCGACGAACCATCAAACAGGTAAAGCGTCAATACAGGACTAAGAAGGAATCATACTACACCGACAAAGGGAAGCACAGCCGCGAGCTGCCCAGTGATTGAGCCTACCAGACGAGCTAAATTACTTATATGCTCACTTCGAGGCAAGTAACACTGAAACATGCATGAGAGCATCAGCTGTTCCGGACGACTGTGTGATCATGCTCTCCGTAAACGATGTGAGTAAGACCTTTAAACAGGTCAACATTCACAAGGCCGCAGAGTCAGATGGATTACTAGGACGTGTACTCGGAGCATGCGCTGACCAACTGGCAAGGGGTGGCGGTCTAAACCTGGCACAATCCCTACTGTGAAGCATGGTGGTGGCAGCATCATGCTGTGGGGATGTTTTTCAGTGGCATGGACTGGGAGACTAGTCAGGATTGAGGGAAAGATGAACGGAGCAAAGTACAGGGAGATCCTTGATGAAAACCTGCTCAGGACCTCAGACTGGGGTGAAGGTTCACCTTCCAACAGGACAACGAGCCTAAGCACACAGCCAAGACAAAGCAGGAGCCTGGACTTGAACCCAATCAAACATCTCTGGAGATACCTGAAAATAGCTGTGCAGTGACGCTCCCAATCCAACCTGGCAGGGCTTGAGAGGATCTGCAGAGAAGAATGGGAGAAACTCCCCAAATACGCCTGTGCCAAGCTTGTAGAGTCATACCCAAGAAGACGCGAGGCTGTAATTGCTGCCAAAGGAGCTTCAACAAAGTACTGAGTAAAGGGTCTGAATACTTATGTAAATGTGATATTTCAGTTTTTCTATAATATAATAAGCAGTGCCCACTTTGTCAAAGGCAGTGGCGCAAAATATTTTGCTTGTCCATTCCCAGCGTGCCTTTCCAGGGTGCTGTTGGAGAGACGCATCTCTGTAGTGCTCCACCAACGTTCAGTCAAAAAAATATTCTAACATAAATCAAGTTGCAGATAAAGGATATGGTAGAAAGAGAATGTGGCCTTTTCTGTAGCCTACAGGATGGAGATAAAATGTATGACAATGTAATGACACGGACACTTTTTACATCATGCAGGGTTCTCTGATCAAATAGCATAACCTAAATGGCACTCAATCAAATAAAACATGTGCTGTCATGTTAAATTAACAAAGCAACATATCCTAAAAACAGGACAGGTCAAAGTAAAATGGACAATCACAATTGTTGTCCAGGAGTTTCACCCCATTTCACCCCAATTTTTTGACAAGCTGATCATAGCGAAAAAGAAAATACTTCTGCATTAGCCACACGATAACATTTACATTTTAGTCATTTAGCAGACGCTCTTATCCAGAGCGACTTTCAGGAGCTATTAGGGTTAAGTGCCTTGCTCAAGGGCACATCGACAGATTTTTCACCTAGTTGGCTCAGGGATTAGAACCAGCGACCTTTCGGTTACTGGTACAACGCTCTTAACCACTAAGCTACCTGCCGCCAACTCCTGATAAAGTTGGGTAGCTGACTTTCAGAGCTTGGTCACATGAATTAGGACTAATAAAGCCTATGCAATGGCCTGTTTTACAAAAGGTGAGTCTACCACATGGATGGGCATTCATACAATTCCATTGCAGGCGGACATGGTAGGCTTCACCCTAGTAAGCACAAGCCGCCATCTTTTGGACGTATTTTTGGGGTTCTGTCTGGGAGTCGTTTTTTTTGTGTTTTACAAATGGTAGGCTTACCACATAGATGGGCATTCATAACATTCCATTTCAGGCAACACTGTAGGCTACACCTCAGTAAGCACTGACCGATGTCTTTTTTTGGTGCAGTTCCGGACCGGCCTTGATTTCCATATCCACTGACATAGATTTTTGGTCCATTTTGTCCGGTCTGCAATAGCCTTGATTTGGTCCAAACATAGACATCTATAAATAACTTATTTTCAACTTTTATTCAGATCCAGAAATTAGCCTGATTTCAACATCAGAAAAAATTTATAATGTCAACGTCTGTAAAATACGTATTTTCAACATCATAAAATAAGTATTTTCACCTTTCATTCAGAATCTAAATTGAACCTAACTTCAAAGTCTTGGAAATACGTATTTTCAACATAATTTTGCTTACTGGGACAATTCTAGTCTCGCATATGGTGGCAGAACCGCAAAGGCCGGCCCTGGCTCTGTTGTGCCCTATTCGGACGGGATTAGCATTACTGGGGGAGGTCGGGTAATGTAATTAAGTGAATGAGCACAAAACACCACATCTGTCATTTTAGCCCTGTCCGAATCTGCCATGTCATTGTACATGGCAGGAGAGTAACAATTCCAGCCAGAAAAACCTACTGTTTTTTTTTTTTTGAACTCCAATGTTCTGTGACAATATTAGTCACATGCGAATCGGCATCCCTGTGTTTTGAGAGAAATGTCAGGTGTTGCAATAACTGAT